TAGAAATTCTTGATAACTCTTGTGTCACCAATGCATTGAGAAACCCATTCCTTGCTACACAGGGTTAAAGTTAATTGAGCAGTCGACTACGTATAGCGTAGGAATACATCAACGGAAATTGTTAAACAGAACTTTGTTTTACCCCCCCCCCCCCACCCCTTCTTTTTTACCTATTTGTATGTAAATTACCCTTATTAGATAACGCCGCTTCCGACTTCAGTAAAATTTCAAGGTTTCGTGCTGATTTCAACGAATTTTATTTGTCGTATAAATAAAATTTATTATGATTGAAATTATTGAACAACTCAGTTGAAATAAAATCAGCGACGTTTATTAGTACAATTGACAAATAAATCACTTGTTGCAAGGATACTAAATGGTTTACAAAAGTGTACACAACATTAATCATTAAAACGATATTATTATCTCACAAACAATTAATTGTGTTGGCACAGTTCTAGCGACACTTCTCTTTATAAATCATTTGGTAATCCGATATTGCTACTGTAGTGTTCTGTGATATATTGTTTATCAAGCTATCGAACAAGGTATTGTATATATTTTTATGAAATGGATTTTGTAATTAACTTCTTGTTAGCATTGTGTAGAATAAATACATAAGATCTTTAACTATCAGAATTGCGAAGTCTTGTTTACTCGTTGGTGGTCGACTTATATACATGTCTGTCTTCATTTTAAGAAGGTTTATATCATGATAACAACACGACTAAAGTACTTTCTACTTTAATATTATATAAAGCTTAAGCTACTAAAAGTTTCCAAAGGATCATGTACTTTAGTAAATATAAGAATATTTTCCAAATTTAAAAGGAGATGGATCATACAATTTCAAGTTACGAGATTGTATTTTATATAAGAAATTAGGAAAGATGATTCAATGAAAACGCTTTATAGCAAGAAATATTTTTTAATAGCTTTTAAATAGTGTTGCAGGTGTAATTCAATTATGAAATAAATGTCATTAGTTATGACATTTATTTCATGATGAAATTATGTTGCAGTAATAAGAGTTCAATTACACATGTAATAGACTCCTATAGCAATAAAACGTCATACATTTCCACAAGCATGTGTGCCGATGTGTCATTTGCTAGCGTTTAACGTCACGACCCATGCGATGCGGGGTGCCTTGTTTTTAATTTACAATTACGACGAACATACGTTTATAGTGTAAGTAATCATGCAGGTAGATTTATCAAAGACATTTGTTTACATGTTTGATATTTATTGAGATTTTATTCATTTTTATTGATGCTAACTGCTTTTTTACTACTGTACCTTAGAGTGTGTTCTAAGTATGAGTAACACACTTTTTATTAGTTGTAGTGTAGTGGTGATTTTGCTAGTAACATTATAACATAGTTTACAATTTATGGAATATTTGAGTGGGAATGATTTATGTATAGAAACATACAGATATTTAACGTGTAGATTTTTTTACTCTTCCTTGCCGTTCGTAGTCATTTAAAGATTTTGTTTATATTTTATTTTATTAGAGAAAAATATTTTCTAACAGTCTTAGTTGTCGATTATTTCTGTTCATGTACTAAGGTCAGATTGGAATTGGGATCTGACAATTCAGAAGCTGTTATGTCTCTACGTCAGTGTGTAACAAAGCAAATGTCTCCGTTCACTCATTGTGCAATTACACGATACAAATATTATGGAAATTTAAAATCTTCAGCTGGTTTCCCACGTATTTGTTGCCTCACATTGACATAATGTATGCAATGCCATGCTCGACATTTGTGCACTATTGTTTGTTGTGTAATGTGATGCATGCAACAGGGCTGTGTGTTTAGGTAAATGATTACTAACATCTACCGGGATTTGTTTAACAATCTTGTAGAAATGATCTGTTTAATTTTTTTGGATCAATCTGTTCATGAATCAGACGGTGACTGTAAATTTTAAGTGCAGACTAAAAATTGTCGGTGCTTATAATAATTTCACGCCTTATGGTTTTGTTTTTATAAGAGCTAAATAAGTAGAAAATACGTACTTAGGTTGCTACTTTCGAAAAATTCTGTAACCACTTAACATTTTCGAATCAAATAATGTCTGAGTTTTGAAATTGATGAACTACTCGTATTATTGACGACAACTTTTTGCCAATCTTTTAGTGTCCATTAGTAACGTGGTTCACAAATGACTAGTATTTTTGCTAACCCTAGATCTAAGTTAAGTGCTTGTGTACGTAATGGTTCGGAAGTCACGTTCGTAGTATACTGGGTGAAGTTCTAAGTCACCACTTAATCGTAAGTTTAACGTTAAAGATTTTTAAATCAAATAACAATATTTATAAAAAAATCTAAATACAATCTTTGTTACTTACATTTTCTATTTAAAATAAGTTCTATGACGCGCAAGGATGTACCCGTTAGTTGCAATACGTTAGCGTGGCTAATTGATTTTGGATATAAGTCAGGATGTTACAAGGCTTAGGTCACTTCGTAGTTTTAACGCATTGATCTTCAGGAATTAGCTCAATTTCGATATCTAAGATAACATGTACTTACTTAATTCCAATAATAAAATGAGAATAAGTTTCAAAAACCCAATAAAAACTTTGTTGTTCAGCCCTAAACAGGGCAATATTGTAAGTTGTATGATTCGCATCACGGTGTTCATTGTGTGCCATGCGCGAAACGTTTATTTTATTACTCAATCGTTAATAGAAATGTTTATAACAATAAGCTTGTCAAAACTGATTTAAAGTCCACCATTTACTTTATTCTTGTTTGTAGTTAGAAGCAGTGCGTAACAGTTTATTGGAGTGAATGTGGTGTTGAAAGTTATTCTGACAAAGACTAAGACTATCCATTAGGATGTGTATTATTGCTAAAAATAGCTGAACTACAAATTATTATTAGTGAAAAACATAACATTAATAATAACTTTACACATCTCACACACGGCCGTCTGGTCCCAAACTAGGCAGAGCCTGTACTATGGTAACCAGACTGCTGATAAACATACAATACTCGTATATATTTCTAAATACATATATAATTATAGACAAATTACACCCAGACACGGACCAAATAATGGTGCTCAATGTGTTGATCACACAATTATTTTTCCTGGCTGGCAATCGAACCCATTACCACTAGACCAACAGGCCAATCAACACCTTAGCTATCGAAATCTTTTTTCTTCTTTTTTCTTTGTTTCAAAAAGTCAAAATGCAGTTCATTCAGAAAGTCTTTTTCATAAAAGTGAAGGTGTCTCTAGAAATATTTTTCCAGTATCTATTTAAATAACAGAACATGGTAGTAATATTGAGATTACCGAGAACCACAAAAAGAGGTCCCCGGTTAAGGTAGTAAATTTCATGAATCATTGCAATTCCTATTATTCATCATAAGAAGGTTTCATTCATCATAGGAACCCTACTTATGATGAATAATAGGAGTTACTAAATCGAATGTAAATTAATAATAATAGTTATGATATCGTCATAGTCGTAGAATAGTGTCGGATCTGACATTTTATTGAACTTTACAGCCATTTCAACTATTTATGTTATTTTTTGACATAACTTTTTAAATTCTAAATATATAGAAATTGGCATACAAGTGAAAAATATTATTTATTTTAAAATGCAATAAAAATAACAACTAATAATTTTTAATTTTCTAGCAAAAAACATGCTTCATTTTACTTTGAGCGCCTATCGTATTATTGACAAACAATGAATAATTTAAAATCTAAAATACATATATTTTTTCTTGAATGTAGTAATAATATTTAGACAATATAGTATCACTCTATGATCATGACGACATGGTCGTTTTCCACTAACGTCAAGGCATATGCCTATTTCAACAGTCAGTTAAGTTATATCTGCAGTTGTGTGTCTATAATTAGAACAAAGATTTCACTGTACCGCTTCTGCCTATAAATAAAATACTAAAACTGTTAATTTTACAACTTTTATATTATTACGTCGGTTTACTATGTATGTATTATTAAGAAACTTTGAAACAAAGGCAGGTAGATTGCAGCGAACCGCGGTGGATAGAAAGGTTTTGTTAACAAAGATTTTCTTATATAACACGGAATAATTAAATTCATTTATGATTTTTTTCAATAGTCTTGTTTTATTTTTACCCTTTCACCACCACACAATTAAATTATTAAAAAAAAATACAATGTACCAGAAGAAATATTTAGTCTAGAGCCCAATTCAACTTGGAACGTGAGTAGGTAAAGACTTTCTGAAAGAATATCATATCACCATAGGTACAACTAAACTGGTTGGTAACTATGGGCCTGTGAGTGATTATTACGTATATAATCAATGTAATCATAGTTATAAATTAAAGTGATTGAGACATTCACGTCTATATTGTTTGGCCCCGAGTTGATTGAAAGAAGTAGGTATTCATTCATTCGTTCGTTCATTCAATGTTTGCACATAACGTATACATTCTAAAATGAATAGTAGTTTATGTGTTGCCCTTCTTGGCAAAAGATGAAGAAATCGATGATATTTATAAAAGATTTATTAAAAAAAAAATCTTCTGTCATAGAATAGAAGTGTATTGTGTATGGGAGTGTGCTTGACTTATTTCTTTATTCACTTTAAGAATTAAGAATTTGAAGAACGTTTTTAAGAATTTGAAATGTTTTTAATAATTATTCTTATATTATTGTAGAGTTCGTATAAAATTTGTATAAAAGTATCCTCGTGAAAAAAAATAAGTTTACTACCAAAAAAGATTATATTTACTGCATCTTTATTGCATTGCTAGTCAATTAATTGACGCCTCCAGCGAATTATTCTCGTGGTATTTACGACGTATTTAACCAGTTCTTTAGGAATATACGATAGGCCTTGTATGAACAATTTCCTGTATATAAAATAATTTAAGCATAATAATTTTATAAATAAATTATTCTTTCACTAGATAGTTTGTCAGCCAATTATAAATCACAAAAGAGAATCAAGTTTCTTAAAAATTAAAGAGACTCACCGGTGCGTACTCGGCACAAATATCGATAGAATTGACGAAGTCACACACTTCATCGACGGACCACGTTGATAGACGAGCTCGAGCTTCAGCACACAAGCACTCGCCTCGCGCTTCACCCCGGTCTATGGGAAAATAACGTTAAATAATATATATTTACTACCATTTTAAATCAAATTTGAAATCGATTCATGCATAAATCGGCCATCGAGTTAATTATTCGATTATTAACATGGTGCCTGTTTAAACGATGAATAAATTCGTGTATTCGATTGTCATGTTTTGTAATAAGAAATTTTGACAATACAATATTATTAAATAATTAACGAACCATTTAGTTTTTAATAGTTCATGATATAATTTACTTTAATCATTAATGTGTGGTTTTATCATTATTGTAACATTGTACTTTGAATAAGTATTAAATTACTGTCGTGTTTCAAATATGTGTGTGTTTTGTAATTCTTTCTTCTCTTTTTTTTTAAAACAACTCCGCACTAGGAATATATCCCGTGTCGCGGGGACTTTACAAACATTCATGAAACGGACACAAAGAAGATCCAGACTCCGAACAACAGTTTTTGGATTACACAAAGTGTTGTCCCAAGCGGGAGTTAACCGATTAAACCACTGCGCCATCCATGTGTGTCATGTCATTAAATACATAATTAATATGATCGTATTTATACTTGATGCAATTTCATATTAATATTTTCATAAACTAATGATGCTATCATTATTTCTTGACGCTTTAAGTTTCGAGATTCCCGTGTTTAACATAACTTTAGTAATTAATTACCCAATTTGGTAATTGACACCTAAAGGTTGTTTTGATAATAAGCTATAGGTGTCAATTACGAGTACATATCTGACACATAAACAAATATTATTTTTTTAAATATTATTTTTTATACTCCCTACTCAATAGTCTGTCTTTCTGTCCCTAATACAGGATAAAATTGTCCCATCAGCATCAACAACTTTTAATAGACCACTGCTGGGCATAGACCTTTAGGTTTACATAGTATAGCGTTTGTTTCAAGTTTGCCTTCTCTTTGCAGTGCTGTTGTCCTGCGTAGTTAACTCCTTTAGTCGGCTCTAACGACACCCACGGGATGAATAGGGGTGGCGACACTCTTTATTCTTAACCCGTCACCACATAGATGAAAATTTACGAAAATACTGTTAGAGTATTTTCTACTTACATTATTCTCTTCTATAAACCAAGGGGTTTTAGCAATATTTAAAACAGAGGGCCCGCAAAAGGAATTATGTTCAAGTTTCTATCAAATGCTGGACTTGTAAGAAGTTGTTGTTGGAAGTTTCGTAATCTGTAGAACCAAATACTCACCCTCATTAGATACTCTGTCTCTGTCGTCAGAATCACTTCTTGTGCTCGGGCTAGCCGATGACCTAGCGCGTTTGGCGGCACTCTCTCCAGCAGCAGATAGATCCAGAGGGGAGTGTTCCGGAATCGTTCCTGTACCTGTGCCTTTGCGCCGTGATCTCCTACATCTTCCCGCACGGGTTATTGCTAGTAGTGTCTGAAAGAAAATCAGTTGATAAATTGTGATGTTTAAGGAAGCAATGATGGTTACAGTGCAAGTGATGGGAGTTACTATTTGGTGGGACTAGCCGACAGATAAGTATTTACGACAGATATATTAAGAACCCTTTTTAATCTTTAACTGCAACTCGGCGCTCTGGTACTTAATCAATAGCGAAAATAGGATAGAAGAACGGCAATAATAGAAAAAAAACTTAATTACTTGAAAGTCAAACAGAGCAGGCAGTGGGTACAATGTTAAGCAAACATGAAAGGTGAGCTGGTGGGTTATTATCAGATCGAGAGCGCTCTCGTATCGTAAGCGGCAAGCATTCATCATAATAACGTTCTGAACCGTCACGCTTGCCGCCCGCGGGTCAAATTGCAATCTATCTTTTTTAATTGCCCCGTGTGCTAAAAAAGGCGACTGCAGGGTAATTCCGAATAAAATTAAAAGGAAGGCGCGCGCGCGAAATGATCCCAGAATATTAGTACAAGAAGTAAACGCGCGTACGCCAATAATTGTCCGTAATACTGGTGCGCCGAACGTGGTGAAGCAGAACTAAAACCATAAATCTTACGATTTTTTTTTGCATCACCGTCGCCCTTGTCTCTCTTTTTATATGAGGAAAAAATATACTTCTACTTATAAACCGTTTACACTATTAAGAGAAATGTTATAAATCATTTCCCGCGCGCGGATACGAAATTGATCTAGATTGCGTACCATATGAAATTACAAAAAAAAACACGTGATGTGCGCTCTGTGTCGCTGTAATTTTGCTAGAAAGTCGAAATCGAATAACTGTTACGATTCCACATTGCAATTTTATCGTGTCTCTTATTGCACTCGTGTGCAAAAAGTCAACTAATTTTAAAGTCGAGTTGTGTTTCGATTTCACATCCCATCACTAGCGTGTCGCGGGGCTAGCTCGGCTGTGCGCATGCGCGGCGCGTGCCGCGGCCAATTAGTGCAGCTCCAGTTCCTTTTACAGTGGAGAGTCGAGTCGAGACGGTTCGCTGGCGAGCAGGGGGCGGGGCAGCACTATTACCCTGCCGATTGTAGGCGCACCGCGCTAGCAGCACACGGACGCCAATTAACACTCTCTCTACTGTGTCTATGCAACGGCGGAGGAAGTGTAAAGGTCGTGGGCCTTATCAGATTTAATTGCGTCCATTATTACTGGAAAGGAAGCGGGGTGCTCACCGCGCATTATGATTTTAAAGAGGTTCAAATTAACATAAACTGGCCACGCTTTGTGGAGATGGCTCGTGCGATAAAGCTTTATGAATTTTACGAGACATTTTAATCACAGCCGTGAACTATGAAACGGTGTATGATGTGTAATTAAAACAGGAAGGTCAGTGAGCACTTGTATATATAATTAATATGAATTACAAATGTGGTCTTTTGAAATGAAAACTCATCTGACCGTAAATTATTTCATAGGGGCAGTGGCCTTGCCTTAAGTAACGTACAATATGAAGTAATAAATATGAAACTGTTTTTTTTCTTAAAATTGTAATTATGAAAAGAAATAGCAGAAGTAATTATAGGGATTTATGATAGAGAAAATGAGCATTAAAATAATTATTTACAATTGTATACATCCTGTTTATGTAAGAATTGGGGGAGTAGTAAAATTAGTCAAAATTATGTCCTCTTATTATTTTATATTTAGAAAAGTAACATATCTTACAAAGGAGGCAATAAGAAATAAACCTCAAGTAAATTTAATAAAGTTAATAAAAAGTATCATTACTTTTAAATGAAGCTACAATATTGTAATGTTATTGAGGACTCTAGACTCGTAGGACAATAATTGTAATGAGCTTACCTTAGTTGCACTCATGTCCAGCATAACAGGGAAGGCAGGTAGTCTAGGCGGGCCTCCTTGTTTGCTGGCTAGCTTTGCGAAAAGTCCACCAAGTTGCGCGTCTGTTGCATCCTGCGCAGGAGATGACGATGCGCGCACCTCGCCAAAGCCGTTCATGCGATGATAGTAGCTGCGTAGAAAAATAGTTTAGGTATAATATCAAATATGTTTAAAATTTATATACCAGCATAGTGATTTTGAGATCGTACATCAGCAGTAAAACGTCAAAACTATGGCTTAAACTCTCAAGCTGAAGTTTCAGTTAGATTATTTGTGTCTTAAGCAGTTTATAAGTTCGATGGTATTTCGAAACTTTAACTACCAAAATAAACGAAATTTGCAAGGATTTTTAATGATATGTTAAATAAAGTCCATTTAACACTTCGCGTTTTCACATCGTGTGTTTTTTTTTACTATTATATTCAGTGAGAGTCTCTTATTTGTGTGATTAATATATTTTCTAGCGTTCAGACATTAATTATATCTGAGATTTTTCGTGTCAAGTTATACAGCTACTAGCCGTAGTATGAACGTCTTCTAAATATTTTACATTTATGCCATTTATGTAAACTATAATTATTCTTTGGTATTCAGTATTTTTCACTTTTCCGAGTGCATTTTATACAACAACATATATTTTTTTCCGCTTACGTAATAAAAATGGTAATAAAAAATAATTTAAGTAAATGTTTTTGAGTAAAAAGTAAATATAAGTGAAAGTGTATGACAGATGTTAGAAATGGATGTTACTAGTATTGAGTAATTAAACGGCTAATACATTTTGAAAATTTAATTAATTATTATGAATTAGATTGATATTAAGTTAACTAAGACGATATAAACATATATCAACGTAATTTATTTATACAAAGTAACCGACTCAGTAATAAAATGCGGGATAAATTAATTTACAAAAAATAGTAAAAAACAGTGATCACATAAAACACATCTAATGATGATTGTAATCATTTAAACAGGAAAATGAAGCAATAACTGTAGACCAATGAATGTCGATTCAAACTTGTGTCAAAAATATATATGAATATTATACATATATGGCAATACGAATATGCTAATGCCGTATGATAAAATAAATGGGCCGATGATAATTATCTGTGCTATCAAAACAATTTTAATGCAACAGTTATCTGATGAAAATTAATGACCATCTCTGTTGACGTTTATGTCTTTCATTCGGCATAAAATACTCAATTTATTACAAGTCTATTTTGCGCATGATGTTTCTTTACAAGTTAATATGAGAGACAAGGGAAAAGTGATAGATAGCTGGTTAAATTTGTATTATAATAAGAGCATTTCATAAAAGAAGACGAATTATATCTATATTTAAACTACATATATAATGGTATCTATATTTTTATTTCAATATAGCACGTCAAAGAAATGTTTTAAAGATCATATGCATAACCTAAACGTGAATTGTCTCTACTAACATAGGATAAGTTTTATGTATTACTAACAAGCAATGAGTTATGGTAACTCCAATAAAAATGGTTATTATAACCTTATCTCGTGAATATTTTTATATTAAAAACCGTTGGCAGGCGGAAACAATGTCATGGAAATGCTAATAAAGTTAACATCGGCCGTCAATATTGTTCTATAGGGTAATTAAAATATTCAAGGTTCAGCGACCGAAGATGACCAATTCATTAATATAACATAAGTTCACACGGAGAGCTTTGGTTCTCACGAATCATGTAAATTTGTCGACTAAATGTAAGTTTTCAAATCGATTAATATGCTAATCAATGTTGGGCATCACTAGCGGCGGTCGGTGAACTGCGGGTCGCATACTATTGTGACACGGACCGTGTGAAAAATGATTGATGAATGCGAGTATCGAATTGAAAATCGATAATCGGAAATGGATTAGTCCATAAGGACGGTGTATTAAATCAGAAATTTATATATGATTCCAATAATGTAATACGTCGATTGAGTGTGCTATAATATTGAATTACTAAATATCATTAATTACTACTGCTACCGTACCAATGAACTTGTGATTAATTCATCTAGTTAATTTTTCATTCGTCTTCAGTAATTTAATTTACTGTTGTGTGTAATTTACTGTTGCATGTAATTTACTGCTCAAAGTAACAAGATACTTGTAATTTAAGTTTTTAGCTTTAATTTTTTATCATATTGCTGAATTCTTTTGACAAATGCCATTTCACAATGTTTTCAGGAAAAAAAAACTCATACCATATTATGTCTTCTTGGCATATATACATACACTCAAACCTGTATGTATGTGTAACTCACACCTGTGTGTAATAAAATATTGTGACTATGCTGAGATGAAGATATGACAATGAAAGGAGAGGGATATGGTTTATACAGAAGGATCCACTATCCTTGTGTCAGTGTCAGTATCAGCTCGACTATATACCTGTAAATTTAACTGATTTGCTGGGATGTCGGAGCCCTCGACTTGTATATAAAAAATATAATTTGTAGAGTATAGTACTAACTCGTTGCCAGTGTGGGTATCTCGGTTGTATCTCGCGGCTAGGGTACGCATAATGTCGGAATAGTTGCGCGGTGGGTGTGCGGGCGCAGGCTGTGCAGGTGCGTGAGGACTGCCGCGTTCTGGCGGTGTTCCCGGGTATGACGATGTGGAGGGCGTCACGCTGCGAGATCTAAACAAGAATTTGTTAGATTAGATTAGAAAAGTTGAAATATCTCTCTGAAATCGAGACTTTCTTAACGGTAGTTTCGGATTAGAGTTGACTTAATCTAGTGATTTTTAACTCCATGGCGAAACAGGTTTAAGAGTTCACCGCCAAAAAAAAAATTTGTCACATTCTCTGTATTTTTATTCATGTCACTTTGAGAGCACTTCCCCAAGTGCCACCGTCAAAATCACAATCCTTGGCATAGATATATCTAGCGAAGTCCACTTTCGCAGCAAGGCTTAGAGATCAAGGCTAAGTTAGTTGTACTGATTAGATCGAGCCAGTATTTCACTCCATCACTTGGTACTTTATAAAGAGCTATTTCAGGAGCATTCTGTTTTCTCTATACAGAGGTATCCCAGTACTAGCTGCTCTCTCTCCGGCATATAGAATCATAGAATAGAATCATTTAGTGCCAGAATTTTTCCGACCGAGAAGAGCCGATCGAGCCGAGATTAGAGATGTAACTTCACTTTGCATTCTTCATATACTATGGGCAAATTCTCCGATTAATTGTTCGGATATAGCAGCTTTTCGCCATCGTTCCATGAGGATATTCATCACCATCACTTAGATAATTGACTCGCAAAACCAATTAGTAGAACAAATCTCCTGCGATATTTCCAGATACGATCTCCAAACCTCCACGGCTTGTGACACCTTAGTTGCAGGCGTCTATGAGTAGTGGAAGTCACTTACCATCAGGTAACCGGTCTGATCGTTTGACCTCTATGTAATAGAAAAAAAAACAAACAAACTACGGGAAAGACAATGGAAAATCAAAACGTCATATACCTAATACACATATACTACTTTTTTTTGTTTTATACTAACTAAATATTCATGGAGATGTTGTAATAGATTAGATATATATAACATATGTTTTTGAAAATACTAAATGGGAACTTTAAAGTTGTGAAATTAAAAAAAAACCTTACCATGTCAAATACCTTTAAGTTTCGTGTTGGGCTAGTTAACTTAAAAATGACAGTCCAATCATCGTTCATATTTATGTAGTAGCTCTCGATTATTTAATGATTGTTTATGATTTTCATACTCTAGAAAAAAAATCTTTACATTTTTGGAAATGTTTTTTTTTTTACTATTTCCGATTTTTGTATGTAAATCTTTTAAACAATCTTACCCAGAAGCGTTAGAGTCGTGTGGGCTCAACCGCTCGCTCTTGACCGCGTGCGCTTGAGGCGCGGTCGTCGGCGGCGGCGGCGGCGCATGCGCGGGTGACGCCGCAGCATCGCGCGCGCACCGCCGCGGTCCTCCGCCTCCGCCGCCGCCCCCTTCACCTATGAAAGACAAAAAACAAAACGTTATTCAATAAGTCAATACTCGTATAATAGTGGAAAGGACTCAGCCTCATGGGCCGTAATAAAGTGTAGTAATAACACATTTCATATTTGCACCACTACTTCGACCCCCAATCACGTTATAAGGGCTGACTTTTAATGTGAGTTAGGCCTGTTGCCGTCAATGGAGCAGAAAGGGAAATGTTTTCAAAGAAAGGAGCAACAGAAGAACTGTAAATAAATCTTTACCTATTTCAATCCTGTAGTAAACAAATGAAATTATGCCTCATGGGCACAACGTCAAATTACATTTCAACTTCTAATTTTCGTTAAAAAAAAGGTTGTAAGAGAACGTCATTAGATTAATTTATTGAAAATAAAATGTGATAATTTATTTTTGTAATTGAAATGACTGACAAAGTATCCAGAAGGATTGTAAGTATTCTAGATGATTACTAAGTATTCTAGTGATACTGAGTATCCGCACTCTATAAAATCTACAAACCTACTCATTCAATGATCCGGCACTGACTCGTAATGGTCCAAGGATTGTACACTACATACCTACTCACTTGCTTTTAATCAACTTATATTTGAAATTCATGGTATGTACATATTCTAATAGCATGAGATGATAAAAATACCAATGTGCGTTAAAGTTTAATTAATGTGGCGTAAAGGAAGTTGTGGATAGTAGGAAGTGCGTAATATGAGTGATTCGAATGTTGATATTTAAATTTACGATATTAATATTCATGATATTTATGCGCGTCGCCTATTAGTTCGAATTTTTTAGAGGCGGTTAATTGGTTGGTCACGAAGGATTTATAAAAGTATTTCTATTAGTTTGTTGTATAGTAATTTAAATTACAATCTTGCCATCATCGCCGCAATGGGGGAAGCCACAGCTCACAAGTAGTGGTAATAAACTTGGTATGGCACTAAAAGATAAGTATTTTATTCTTTGTGTCCGTGAAGTCACACTCCCGTGATCAAGAATTAGGTAAACCAAAAAGAAACAATGACTTTTAATTTAAGTTAAGCGATTAGCAATGGTAATCGTTTCTATTATTCTAAAACAACTTTCAAAAAAGAGCACATTTTAAATTGGACTGTACTTTTTGTGCTTGCTGAATATAAATTGCTTCTAATATATTTTTTACTTGGGGTTATAATATTTTGACCAGTACGTCATAAAATCAATGTTGCCATTCCCTGAATAAAGTTTCAAGTTCGGACTGATTTTATTATCTTTTTACTGAAATGTGCCCGTGGATAAACATTGAAAAATATGCATTTGTAAAAAGCTAGCTTAGTATATTACAAAATATACAAAATCGACCATTAAACCATATCTAAATATATAACGAAATTATGCTTGTATGATCACTTGTATAGCTAAGTAGTACATATCCGCCTATAAATTGTTATCTACAACGCAAAAGACTTTTTTTAAACGTGTGTTATATTTATTACACATGCTGCGGTTGATCGCGAAGGTGTCAAAAACTGGCCATGGCAACTCAGGCTCTCGGCATTTAGATCGAATCTGGCGGCTCGTTTGATCCTAGGCGGAGAGCGAAACCTGTGCTTTCATTCTGATCTCTGCGATCTACAGAATTAATGAGCGAGGTGTGAACTTGTCACTGCAATGAACACGCGCAGCTTTTCGTAAATTCTTGGTAACTTTAATAATGTTACATTATTTTGCAAATTCACAAACATAATCTAATGCTGAAAACATGTTACTTCTAATGCTTCAAGCATTTAAAGTACCATTTCTTTCAGCATTTGGCACCATGTTCTACGAATATATGGAATTTAAAAAATTAAAATCATTTCTGTTGACGTGTTAAATATAAATCAGTTTTAAATAAAAAAAGTCACAGTAATTATATAAGCATGTCACACCGTGTAGGGATAAATCATATCTGACAGATTGGGTGAACACGCTGTTACTTGTCAACAAAATATGTGTGTTATTAATAACATTTTGTCAGAAACAGTTTCACGGGTAATATTCGTAACAGGTATCTGTAACATAATGCTGTTTAACAGCTGATTTTTTAATAGTAGATAACATAATTTTAATGTCATTATTAATGTATGTAAAGGTGAGTATTTGCATGCGGTTTGCATGTCATACGTGAGATATTGACCTGGAAATGACTTTAGACATATGGTAAAAAGAAAGTAACGTTAACTTTATGTGAGAAAAGTTGTAGTTTAATATGTCCCGGTGTATTTTATTCTTAATGTATTCGGTTTTGGTAAGATGTTAATAAATATGAGGAAATGGAAATACGCAGTCAGATTTTATTATAGATGGAGACATTTTTATTTGGCTACTGCTTTTCGATAAGAAATTAAGAAATTGAGTTTCGACATTTCATTAGTTTATTCCCATGTTAAATAATTATTTCTGTGCCATAGTGACCGTAGAACCAAATATTTGGTACAATTTCTTACAATTTACTTGATAGGTTGAAGAATAGGTAGTTCTTTTGTTCCACGGAAAGTTATTTAATACATCTTTTTTAAATTTAATTTTATATGAAATATTTTTCTGTTTCCTTTATTTATATCCAGCGATTTTACGATTAACAGTTTATTAAATCAAACAACAGAAAATGTTGAAATAGAAATTCTGTATAAATGAACGACTAAACTCCTTTTAAAATGTTTACCTATACAAATACGAAATAGTTTTTAAGATCTTCTTTATAAAATTACTTAGCAACAATCAGTTAAAAAATAATAGAGACGTTAACAAAATCCCACAAAGTATTTGTAAACCAAAAATAACCATTTAATACTTTGAAATTACGTCATAAATATAACTGATTCTTATTAAGTAATAGCCATATATTATCTAAATATGAGCATTTTGGTCTATTGATATTAGAATGTTAACTGACCACGCACACAGAACTCATAAGCCTATAGATGTTATAAGTAAAATAAAATAAGTTGACGTTTTTGTTACAAATAAACCTGCTCCCTGTGTAGGTGTATCATTCGTTATTCAATGATATACTAGAGTAATGATAACTAGATATTTATAAAGAGATTACGGACCACATACGTTGATAAAAACAGATATTTTAGAAAATATGGACCGGATTTGTCCATAATTTGTTTCTTAGACATGGCGTGGTCAAGGTGGGAGTTCGTGGGTTAAATATATGGTCTTAAGAATTGATTGGTGCAAACGGCCGCGTTTTCCTGTTGTGCAATAAAAACATGGCTTAACATTATAATATTCAGATCAGATTTGGTGATAATGACATGTGGTCCGTGTCGTGACAGATTAAGAATACATAGTGTCACCACCCCTATTCATCCCGTGGGTGTTGTAAGAGCCGACTAAGGGAGAAAACAACGCAGAACAACAGCACTGCAAAGAGAAGGAAAAAAGGACACAAACCCAATACTAACATGTCTAGCAAGCGGGGCCTATGTCCCGCAGTAAACTGTTAGAGGCTGTTAATGTGTAATATGATAAAATAATGTAGAAATCACGAAACGACGGTACCGTCATAGTTAAATATGTTGCAATTGTGATCGAATAACTCCAACTTCAAACCCTACCTCCTAGTACAAACTAAGAGGGATTATAATACAACTGATCGTGTTAATAATGTGTGATTTATGCACTTCTTCTAGTCTTCAAAACCTATACCAAATAGACTTCAAATAAAAGTTTTAGTGCCTAAATATCAACTCTTACAATGAAACCTAATGAACCCTAGTTATGTCAAAAAGAAGATTTCTTCGTGTAGAAAAACCACGATAGCAAACTTATTCATTTCCAGCATTAATGAACTAAGGATGTTTACTGCAAGGATGGCGCAGTGGTTTAAACAGTCATCTCACCTTTTAGTGTTGTGGGTTCGATCCACGCATGGGACAACACTTTGTGTGATCCACAAAATGTTGTTATGAATCTGGATATTCTTTGTGTCTTCAGTGAGTCCTCCGCGACAAGGATGTGCTCTTAGTGCGGGAGTAGTCTTTAAAAAAATGCCGTTCTTGAATATTCTTAGTCTTTTGTCGTCACTTCAATGTTGTTGTATATCAATTAGCAAAAATGTCGGTTGTAATCATAATATATCAAACCTGATTAACGTAGTCTAAGATCGGTACTCTAAACAAAAAACAAGTATTGGTAAAATATCCAGGAAGTGATCTGTATTTACGACGGGCGACGAGCGACTGCCTTCCGGTGCAAACGAAGCTATACCGTTACTGTGGGCTTGTGCGGCTACTAGGTGCACCTGGTCGTATCAAGTGATTAAAAGAAATAAGCTATTCGGTTAGCACCTATTTTCTTAAACTTTCGTACTTCTTATAAATCTTAGATAAAAACATGGATAAAAAATTGTGACTTATTTATATTTTTATAAAGTCATAAATAACAATGGACATAATTAAATCGTCATAAGCAATTAAAGTTTAATTGTTAGCATTAATTAGGATGATAAAATGACAAATATTATACAAAAATAGACTCGTGAACATCGTATTATCATTAATGGTTATTATTAACTGTAATGCAATCTATAGAAACTGAGATGAAGGAGACAATAAACTGTTAACGTATCAAATTTAATTACAAAAGTAATTACAGATACGTCTTGGATAGCACAAACGGTCTTTCGTCGAAATTGACATTGCAGTTATTGACATTTCTTTAACTTCCTCCTTCTTCGCGTCAGTATAAAATCTCTTAACTAATCAAATGGTAAAACTTTTTGTGCGGCTAGAGGTCGAGCCAAATATGTTTATTGTATGATGAACACGATCAGCTGTTCAATTTTAGGTTTATTATCCTATTAGTTTTTTTTTTTAATTTATTAATATAAGAAAAACAGTATTAAATTAAAACCATAAAATACGTATTGGCTTATCTTAGGTGTGAGTGTACATTCCTCATTCCTTTCTATTTCCTTTATCTACCTTCACGACAATATGAACAAATGTATGTATATTAAAAAATACGAGTAAGTTTATAACCAGTCTGGTTATTCTAGTACAGGTTCTGCCGAGTTTCGAATCAAACGTTGTGTGCAAAAATACACACTGCGCATATATGAACTGATACCGAAAATTAAATCAGTTACTCTAGTCCTCGCTTAATGCTTTTCTATGCTAAGCGTAAATGAATGCCAACTTAGTTGCTTAAAACTGCAAGAATATAATCACTGAAATTATCAATAAATAATTTCCGAAGTTGGTATCGACAGTGCAGGTAATAAAACCTTATTTATTCTACTAATTTACCTGATGGAAAGTGACGATGAAGACAAATATAGTCTATCAAAAATAGAATAAGTGTTTCCATTTCATTTTTGTTTCTTTTTACATATAATTTACTGTCACTTTATACACTCGTATGCTTTGCTTTGTTTCGGTAAAAGGAAGTTCCTGCGCTGAGTTAACTAGCAATAACGGAGTGGGTATTTAAACTACACCATTTATGCAGTTAAGCTATTAGGTATGTACTAAATGTGAAAGTGATTCTAGATTATGCAAACTAACCTGCTTTTAATTGGTTTTTATTATAATGCGTATTAAGGAAGCTATTTAGTTTGACAACGTTAAGAAAAGTGAGGGCATTGTACTGAATTTATTGAAGAATTATATTTTGCGTAAACTGGAAAACCGGTTTATTAAAATGTTTACTTATTGCTCTGTCGATACTTCCCAATTGTGTTCTGCTTTAAAACTTCGATGTAATTTGTACCAGAAAAATATAATATGCCTATATATTTTAGTTTTTTGTCTATGAGAGACATGCTACATAAATCGGGTATAATAAAAAATCACTGAAATATATTAAAAATAACGATCTGTTTAACAGTTATGAGCGTTTTTAATTTCCAGGTATTATCAGCTCATCATCAACAGCCTATACTAGTCCACTGCTGGACATAGGCCTCTCCGTAGAAAGGAGGTTTTGGCCTACTATACCACGCTGGCCAGACGGGTTGGTATAGGGTTTGTTTCAAGTTTTCCTTCTCTTTGCAGTGCTGTTGTCCTGCTTAGTTTGCTCCCTTAGTCGGCTCTTACGACACCCACGGGATGAATTGGGGTGGTGACAGCTCAGTTGCTCATAAAAGCAAATGGTACGTGTTTCGTTAATCAATTTAATCGAAAATATGTTTTTATATTGGAAGTTATCAATCCACTTTTGAGAAAATCCATATATTAGAAATTATGCAACTTTAAAAAAAAAAACAGTAAGTAGTGGTATACAAAAACAATTTTATATCCTAAATATTTCCAAGTTTTCTGATACAACTATGCTCCCATACGAGTTTCTAGATAAATACTCGTACTTATCCGTGACAAATACATATTTCACGCGGTAGCTAGCAGCAGTATTTAAAAAATATTGGCAATAAAAACCACAAATTTTTAAAGATATAAAAACAAATATGATCAGTCAAAGCGACAGAACAAAAACTCTGCTGCAGTCTTAGCCTATTCTATCCACCCACAGCTCTCTTGCCCTATGGATTTTCCTTTTTCCAATGCCCCTTGAAAACTTGTGACTTCAGAAGGAATGTCCAAGAAGTCGATAGACGGTTGGACATTAAAGAGACCAGCCAAATCGCTGTAAACATTACGTTGACCCCAAATGGAATAGGCAGAAAGACAATGATGAGTTTTATCAAGATATGAAGTACAATTAGGTTGCTATTTGGTAATACTAATAAACACATCAAGCAAACTAGATTCGGCTGGTGAGTGTACTAAAAAAATTTGTACTATAGTTTCGTCGTGGGTTTTGTAACA